TAATTTAACCATCACAAAACCTTTTCTAAAATAATACAGCATTACAATGTTTCCTCATCAAGTATAGAAATATGGATGGTGAATAATGAGGAGGGAACATATGTAAATGACACTTATGAGAAAAAATAACAAAAAAAAAGAAAACCTTGCAGAAGAGGATAAAATCATCGAAAGATACTATCCTTAGATACGTATGAAAAGGTTTGTATTTCAAAAATTTAATTTAATATAAAGAAAATAATTTTTTAAGTGAAGAGAATAAATCCACAAAAATCTTAAATAATACAAAATACATCTTTCTAGATAGAAGAAATTGTTATAATTCAAAATTGTATTAATACCAAATATTACCAGTAATATTAAATTAATAATTATTATTTAAAAAATAAATAATTATAAAGTTTAAAATTTTTAATAAAATACAAATGTTCAAATTTTTACTGTGAATACAACTAACAATCACTACTAGTGTGTAGTCTCTCGCCATTTCATGGCTACTAGTGTTGCCCAAATGCGAAACCGAGATGAATCTTGATCTTGCTAAGTCTTGGTTATGGCCTTGGTCTTGCGCAAGAGTCTCGCGATTGTCTTACAGTTCCTTATTAGCTTATTACTTATGAGATATTACTGTAATTTTTTAGATAGGAGAAACCTAACTAAGCCCGAATGAAAAATTAGAAGAATTAAATGCAAAAGTTTATTGGTTATACCAATTATTAACATATAGTAACTAAGATTGTCAAGTATTAGTAACTATTTTGCCTTAATTTGTATTAAAAAATCGATTTTTTTTTTCCAGTCCTAGTCTTGGTCTTGCACTTTGCAAGATAACAAGCTGCTGTAAACTGTGCTGTCAGATAACAAGCATCAACTCTACAAACTCTCACCTTTTCAATCATTTCTTTATGCTTTGAATTGTAAACTGATTTAAAATAACAAAACAAAATTTAAAATATTCAATTCAAAAATTTACAGGTTAAATCATTAATTTAATAACACTTAATTAACTACTTTAACAAATGTTTTATGCTTCCTTTTTTAGTCCTGACAAGATCACTGGCTATTAACATTCCGAGATACACTACTCTTCTTAGCTGTTTTTTTTTTTACCTTTTTTCTTCTCTACCAATTTTGGAAAATTTCTATAGATGACAATGAAGTATTATTCGTACCACCACGTGTTATTTGTACTCCTCTCCTCGCACTTTTCTGGATAAGATCTGGTTCTGAAGGGGATCATTGGTTGAGGACAGATCTGATATATCTTGTGATGCTCCTGGGAAGACTGTTTCGAGCTGCAGGTGAGACAAATGTTTTTACTTCAGAGGGTAATACAATGCGTGGAATTATTGTTTTAACTGGTACCGATCCGGTCTTCTTGGTAGTACCATCATCTAACAGATCCCTTTGTGAACTATTGTAATGGGTCAAAGATATTCCAGCTTGTCCTGAATGGTGAGACTCACCTGCACTAGAGTCAAAGTGCTGTAAAGGACTCCCCATCGTAGACAGGCCTGTGTTTTAGTTTGGCCAATAACTGTCCATTCTAGCCTAGTTTCTGTGGCTATCAAATTTTCAGTTATTGGTTCTAACCTTCCTGTCAGGTTTTATCCCATGACATCTACTCCAGGTATCAAATCTACTTCCTGCTTATCTCTCCCACCATCGTCATCGCTCCACTGTATATTCTTACCTTTTACTATATCTAGGCATTCATCATTTGATCTAGGGATATCACTGTAAATATTTATTTTGTCCAACTTTACTCCATCAGAAAATTTATCTGTTAGATTTTTAAGTTTTACATCGTGCTCAACTTTTGTTTCAACATCCCCAAAAGGTTATGTGAAAGTATTTCTTCCTTTTGTTTTTGTAATTTCTCTCTTGAAGAACTGATAGATGCTGAAATATTATCATGCCAAGTTTTATTTCAATGCTCAACCAAAGCGTCAAATTTATTTCTTACTTCTATTAACTTGTCCTGATAACTTATGGAAGTATCAATTTCATCCTCCAGTTCTTTTTCATCAATATTTTCATCAGCTAGTATCAAAGCTCTTACCTTTTTTTCAAACTCTAATAGGTGTTTAGCTCATGCTTCTAGTTTTCTAAATTACTTTTTTAACTTGGGATTATTTTCTGCTATTTCCTTTTCTACCGAAGTAGCTAAAGTCGTAAAGAAATTTCTCCACTGAGTTCTTTCTAATTGGCAGTTTTTAATTTTTCAGCACTCATTATCCTTAATTTACCACATGCAAGAGATGCTACTATTTCATATTAGAAAATCACTTCAGGAAACAAATGAGGCTTTGTTAATTAATGGTAGTTTTTAACTCTTCAGCACTCATTATCCTTAATTTACCACATGCAAGAGATGCTACTATTTCATATTAGAAAATCACTTCAGAAAACAAGTGAGGCAGCAGCTCTGTTCCAGGTGCTTCCCCAACCCCTACCATTTCTCCCACCACTACCCATCTCCCCCCACTCCTTGGCTGAGTTTAGCTGCTCAAAACAAAAGTCAACATTAAATGATTCTAACAATAACAAACTCTATTTTTATTCAAAGTAAAATTTGTCTTGTTTACAGAGAAGCAATCGTTAATTTCTTAAATTAAATAGTTTTTTTAGTTATCACTTCCTATTTAAAAAAAAAACATGACAGTTTAAAAAACACAAAAGTTTAATTTCCTACTTTCATCTGAAAATCGAAGCATTGTTTATATAAACTTTTTTGCAGCTTTTGAGTTCTGCTATCACTTCCTTTAAATATTTCCATTTACTTACGGGACACCCTGTATCTGGGTTAAGACATGTAAAAAACAAAATAGCTTACACGGGTCAGCAAGGGAAATCTTTTTACAGACAAAAAAGTCAGATTTATCTGATCTTTTTTTAATTTATTGCTACTAAACAGGGCATCGGAGCGAAAAACGAATTCTTTAAGAAATAAAAAAAACGTTAAATAGGTACGTCGAACGAGTACCTAAACTTAATAATTTGATTAAGTAATATGGCTGATAACTACGGTCAATGAACGCTAATTTTTACTAAATTTGTCAAATACTGAGACAGATTACAATAAATGGCCCTGTAGCTTGGAAATGAGTCCTCTAAGACAAAAAACTCAGAATTAATTCAGATTTCGATCTCGATCATATCGGAGACCAAATAATTAGTATCTTCCTTCAGAAAAAGTCCCCAATAGCAGCTATTTTAAGAAAAGAAAAAAACTTTCTGATGAGATATATACAAATTATTATCGTGACCAGTTTATAAATTACATGGATTCTTCAAGGAAACTATAGTTGCTGGATACTGCATCGCTTTCAGGTCTATTGGAACTGAATAAAAACTGGGTACGGAAGAAAAAAACGTATTTTCGTGTGCTCGAATAATCGTTGTCCGTAGGAATAAATAAAGTTCTTTTTTTTTTATAAATTAGTTTTCCTTCATCATGAATTTCACCTGATAGAATCAGCTCTAAGCCTATTAAAGCATTGTCTAGGTAGTCTTTCTTCACTCATTAAGCTTAGCTTTGTCCAATAGTTGATCACTTTTTTCAACACTTCAACGCTTAATGGAGATCTCCCACTTTCAAGGCGAGCCATATAGTTCGGTGTATTTCTTGGCCAATGGAGCAATGACTTGATAAATCGAACTTGCTTCCTCTCCAAAACCTCCACGTATCTTGGCCCCCAGATCTCTGCAGCCTAGAGCAGTGTTGACGAGACCATCGAGTCAAAGAGGCTGGTGTTTGTCTCCCTAGACTAGCTTTTTCAATTTCTTAGGATTGCCATCACTTTGGTCGCTGCAACAGATGATCTTTGTAAGAAATACCGCGCAGCCATCTCAAATTTTCCAGAAGAAGAAAAGAGCACCCCAGATATGTTTAGTTTCTGGTATACCCAAAATTATTTCTCGCCAAGCTAAAGTCTTAAGTTTCTTCATCTTTGGAGATTTGTGGAACATCAACACTTTAGATTTAGCTGGGTTACGGTCAAAGATTTGCTCTTACAGTACTCGCTCAGTATATTATTGTTTCTTTGTGCACCATGCCACGAAGTACTGAGGAGGACAATATTATCCGCTATCAGAAGCATAACTACTTCATGATATCCGACACAAACAGGATAAACAATGCAGACCTAAGACTCTCCCCCTGAAGCAGGCCCAGGCTGATACCAATCTCTTCTGAGAGCTCATGTTTTAACTTTATCCGCATCGATGAAGCATCATATAGTTTCTTGAGAAGCCTAATTAGTTTTCCCCCCATTACAAGAGAATAAAGCCTTTCCCAGCACAAGTTTTGTTTGATAGAGTCGAAGGCCTTCCTCAGGTCCACAAACACTGCGTAAACATAGCTGCCCTTTGACCTCAAATTAATGTTGACAACTGACATCAATGTGAATATGTGATGAATGCATCCTCTGTGCGTTCTAAAACCAGCCTGTTCCTCCGGTATTAATGTTTCTAATTCAGCCCATTTCATGATTCTGTTCCTCAGAATGCTAGTGTATTAAGTAAGGTTACTTAAGTTTATTAGGTAACTTTGCTAGAGTATTAACTAAGGATATTCCTTTATAGTTGTTTGGATCCTTTTTATCATCTTTCTAACACAGAAGATGCAAGTTAGCATAAAACAGAAGACAAATATTATAATTGTTAATATCACGAGACAAATACTATATTACAATTGTTGTGGTAAGACAGTGTAAGAAATGGCCTCACAAAAGTCTGCAAAGAGGTGGCAGATAACAACAGAATAGTTTGGCAAAATACGATTGGAGAAATATTCATTTGGCTATAAATTATCGTACTAATAATGGAAGTAATAATAATAAAGAAACTAAATCGAAGCGTCCTTTTTAAATTTAAATATTAAAATAAGTGAAGAGTCAATTTATTTCTAATAATGTTTTAGAATACCCTCACTTACGATATTTAATATCAAGCCCACTAGGTAATATAAGAAAATGGTTTTTCTAAGATTAACTCACCTTTTGAAAATATTTTATTTTTTGAATCTATGAAATAGTATGGAGAAAACACAATAGGTATAATAGGAACTCCTAATTCGATTGCTATTCTGAATCCACCACTTTTAAACGGTAGGATGTCTTTGGCTTCTTTATTTCTTGTACCCTCGGGGTAGATCCATAGCTTAGTCTGAAACATATTAAAACATTTCTCTAACTATAGAATAACACAATCTGGTGCGCGCAACACGCAACTTTCACTTACCGCTCAACTTTGAATAGAAATTATTTTCTGGCCATGTTGGGCTATTATAAAATTTTTGAATTGAATTTTTAACCGTGCTAAAACTAAAAGCTTACAGCTGACAAATCATGAATATCATTAAAATAAGAAAAGTCCTATTTATTATATTACTGGTTGATTACGGATTGTACGATCGGTTGATTATGGATTGTACGACTATTAGTTATTAAACTCTTAATTTCAATTACAAAGTTTACTAAAATGGAATTAAGAGATTTGCATTGTCTGTCATAGACAGGTCAAAAATTGTCAAACTAATTGGCAGTGGATACTGCTGGAATATCACAAAGGGAAAATTTATCAAATTATTCACTAATTTAACTTTCTAAAAAGTTACATGATGATTTTTCGGAATAAACGGACGATAAATACATAATCATTTAAATATAATATATGATCTAGAGTTGTTAAATTACAGTGAATATATTTAAGGTTGTAAACGTATCCATGAAATATTTTTATATTTCACTTCTTCTTTCACACAATTACTGGGATATCACAAAGTGAAGATTCATGAAATTATTCACTAATTTAATTTTCTAAAAATTTACATGACAATATTTCGGAATAAACGGACATTGATAACTAATTATTTAAATATAATATCAGATCTAGAATTATTAAACTACAGTAAATATATTTAAGATTATAAACACATGCTTTATACTAGAGATAGGCAGTACTCGATTACTTTTATGATTTGAGTAATTTTATTAGGTAAAAGTAACGAGTACTTTCTGTATTCGGCCTGACATCGGCGAGTACTGAGAGTACTCACGCAGCGTTAATCATGATTTAGTTAAGAACAGAAAGTACTCGCGGTGTTATATCGAATTACAGAAAGTACTTAGCCAAATTCCTCTGAGTACTTTTTATTTTTCAACTACTCCGTCATTATTACAAAGAGTATAAATGTTTTCTTTTATTTCCTTCAATAATAGCGGCCATATTCGACCTGACCAACCCTAACCCCCCATTAATCGATATAAGATTAACCATCATATTTTCGGGGGCCCTTTTTATAAAAATATACTGTCGGATTTGAGATAGTGCCCCCGGACATCGAATTTTTATAACTTTTTAACGATTCAATCGATACCAGTATTTGTGGCTTTCCAATGGATTCCAAGCCATTGTGGGAAACGAAAAAGCTAATGAGCTCGCACGGATCGCCTGGGAAATGCCACAAACTAATCCTCCGCTGCCCTACGAATCTGTTAAAAGGATTTTAAAATCATTTTACAAGGAAGAAAACAAGAGTTGGCAAAAGCGACAGGCAGCGGAGAAAAAATGGGAATGTTTAACAGAGGAGCAGATGAAACAAACCAAAAATAGGAAAGAATCGGTGGCAAATTTCCGCATGGCAACAGTGACACGATCATCTGCAAAGGCATTTACATAGGATTGTAGTAATGGAAAGTCCTGTGTGCCCACTTTGCCAACAGAACGAGATGTACGACCTGCACCTCTCAGTTTGCCCCGCTCTGTCAGATGTCCGTAGTACTTCTGATGGGATCGGTACAAATTTAAACAAAGGATTCATGCCGGAGTTGTATTGGCTGTCAGAAGCAGAATGGCCTAATAGCCAACGGCAGTGGCGTTTATTAAAAAAAAAAAAAACTATTAGTATTTGGGGAGCGCTTTTTATGAAAATAATGTTAGATTTGAAATCAATTGCAGACTACATCATGTTCAAGATAGAATAAATTTTTTTTTACAGATGACCTTTGCACTAACAGTAGTTATATATACTTAATAGGTACGTTTTCACTCGTAAAATTGATGGAACAAAACATCCATAGGAAAAATTCAACTTTTTATTTATTCGGAGTTAACGAGACCAATATTTTTCTTCATTCAGAACAAAACTCATTAAGCTGGAATATAAAAATGTTAGTGAAATTGACACAATGTTGATATTTAAGATGAAAATCGACACCACGACGAGCTGGTTGAACTTCAATGGAAATAAACACAATCACAAATAAGACTTTTCTTTTTACAAATTCAAGTAAAAAGATACAATTACAAGTAAAAATTATTTTAAATTTACTGAAAATTACACGAAGTCTAAGTAGTGGTTATAACTGTCATTCCAGCAACGTTTGGAATCGCAGTACAGTATAAATTAACTTTTTGAATAAAACCTAAAACTTTATAACCCTATAACAATATTGTAATAACCTAACTCCCACTCCATATGATCAGTGCCTTCAACCTTTCACAGCCATTATATTGTTAACAATTATTTATATTTAATGGAATTCAATGAAATTGATACTAAGTAATTTCTATACTGTTTTCCAAATTTCCTCCAAGTTTGGGTCAAATAGAATAGGCTGTTTTCAAACAACACATAGGCTTTTAAAATAACACATTTCCTTATCTGAAAGCGGAAGTTTTTTTTGTTGGAGTATTAGATAAAATTAGACAAAATTAATGCCTATTTCATTTTACGTTGACCAAACCCTAAAGTCCCTCCAAGTTTGAGCCAAATCGAACTTGTGATTTTAGAGATATAGACGTATCAAGGAAAATAGGTTTACGCATACATGAGGGACGCTACATTATTTTTTTTACAAATACTTATGTTGGATTTACATCCATATTTTTTGTATATCATTATTATTAAATATCATATTCATCGTCATTATATATCATTTGGTATTATATACCACATATTTACTGTTTGCTTTGAAATAATAACACGTGGGCCCCCCAGTCTCATCCTGTCCTACCCTCTCTCTAAGACGGCGTTACGTCTAAGGGTCGTCAGATGCTTGAAGACGAAGTACGGAACCAGACGGCTTACGGCCTGCTTACTCAGCCGGCTTGAAGAATTACAGCCCTTCGGCTATCCACTACAGCTCCAAAACTTTGGACGAGCGGCGAATCGAGAGGGAGAATGCGCGAGACCGGCCCCGACATCAAACTGTTTGCCAAACTATTAGATTAAGTCACAATAGAACAGGTTGCCCTTTCACAAACAACTTGCCCTTTGTTTGGAAAACAAAAATGAAGAGATTATTGACAAACAATTGACAGCATCATTCACAAGTATTCCTCTATCAAACATTTTCCTTTTTATACCACAAGAACAGAGCTTTCGGTCATACAGCATGTACCGGGTCACCCAATATTGTACAACCTATCTTTTATCTAACTTTGAGCTAAAACGGAATAGCCGTTTCTGAAATATTGGTATATCTGCAAAAACGCGTGCACAAGCGGAAGCTCTGGTTAGAATTTAATAAAATTGATATGGGGAAATCTAAACACCGACCCTCACAATCCCTAAAAATTTCATGAAAATCGGATAAACGTTAGTAGGTGATATGTCCGCTACATTGATTTGACAGACACCAAACCAAATTTGATCCTTGATGTCTGAAAAGTAGAACGCGAGCGGAAATATTCGATTCTGAGCAGAAATGTTTTTTTAACCTCTTGCACGAATGCAATGCTTCTCTACCTTCGGTAGTGAGGAAGCATTATGAACAAAGCCAGTAAAGAGATTGACGAAGTTGTAAATCGTGATTTAATTAAAGGGAGTTTCTACCTACTGTTAACAGGTTGTCAATATTTTTCTTAAGTCTTTCACAAAATGATAAAATGTAAGTATTATCGTTCGTGTAATTACATTTAATAGGACTTCAAGAATCACTTAAGCACTATTTCATATAGGTTTCTGCTTTTTTCTCAGTTTCTTCTCCACTTTTCGTGTTTGAAGCTTGGATTTCTGGATTTTTAGGGATCCGTCAGTACAGATCGTCATTACACCAATCTTAACTTAACACGATCTATCAGAATGTCATTCCAATTGACCATATAGGATCGGCTTTACAATTGGTCTGTCAGGAGGACATGACATCCTGGAGGCTATATTGCGAGATTTGTTTGTTGAAAATTGCATTAGTTTATTTTTAAAAAAATAGTGAACGGATTTATGCCAGATAACGTAGTTTAAAATCGATGGCGTACACATAAAAATTAAACTAAAAAATCATTATTATTAGTTGGCAAAAGAACATTTCAAAAGCATTGTAAACATTTTTTTAATTCTATACTAATCTTAAAACTGAAATAAATTCCAAAATTCATTTCCTTGTCGCTAACAATGGTTAATTTATATTTATTCTTTTCCATGGAAAATGTGTTAAGTTTCTCTCTCAATTCATTGCTGTGTTTCAATTAATGGAACTAATTGTCTTTTGATATTGATTATTTCTTTGAACTAAATAAGGAATGATACTAACTAAATAAAGCAACAGTAATATTGCTAATTGTTAAACTTGGCCAGTCTTATATACTGGGTGAACCCTTGACTTCATTCGTGTTAGTAAGGATTAAAACACGATCAAATACTAAATAAATGAAGTAGTACGTAAAGAAAATTTACCTTTTGTTTTTTCATCACATTGGCTGCAGTATTCATATTGTTTCTAGCCACTGTCCTATTATTTCTGTCAACGAAGACCAGTCCTGTAAGCCAGGCCATCGGTCCGAATGGAATAGCATAAAGTAATTCCTTTTTCAATATTACAGTGAATTTACCCATATCGTCCAAAATATCAAACATACCTGCAATGTTTGATCGATTGATAATGAATCAGCACCCCAACCAACATCTCTAAGATATATCTGCCTTAGTTAACTATCAATTCACTAATTAATATTAATAATTTTGCTTTTTTCTTGCATTGTCATATACATTATTTTTTTAGAAAGGAATGGTTCTTAATTGTTTGCTATTGGTCCCTGGCATACACTCTTTTTTATCAAATTAATAACATCCGCCTTAAACTTCGTAAATAGCTTCATCTCATCTTAACCTGTAAATGTCTTATTTGCAAAAATTCTCGGAAATGAGAGGTTTTTAATCTAGAGGTCAGCAAAGTTTGTCTATTTAATTAGGTACTAAAAACCCGTAAATACTCATTTGATTTCCACTTGGACCGTAAGATAATTTGATCACAAAATCGATAAAAAAGATGCCCTACAAAAATATTAGGCAGTTTGGCCTATATAAACTTCAATGGATCAAGATAAAACGCTTCCAAAACTCAAGCCATTGTCATTGGTTCCGAACTACTTCTCAGATCCAATACCAATATTTCTATCCTATATCTAAATGATCATTCCATCATCTTAGGTTCAGTAAAAAACCTAGGAATGTTCATAGACCAAACCCTCTCCAAACCCTCCGAAGTCATCATATTGCTCACATCTCCTGACGGTCAATTGGTACCTTGAAACTATTCCATCGTTTTCGCCATCTCCTACCCATGCTCCTAGTAGATTCCCTCATCTCGTAATCTATCGCTTCATAGGTAGATCATAATACTTGTCTTGTTTTTCGTAATATCTTCTCATGTGTTTTCACTTAAACTTCTTAAGGAATATATGTAAATCCTTTATTTACTCTAGTTATTTTTTTTTTTAAATATTTTATCACGAAAATGGTTTGCTTATGAGACTTATTTAGCGTTTCTTTCCAATTGTATTTAGTTATTTGTATGTTTTTGTTGTTTTCACCAATATTGTAACCCTAGTGCCCATCTGCTTTCCTAAATATACCCTCTAAAGCTATTTATATACTTATTTTATTACTTGATTTTAGGTATTCTTTATTTTAATAGGTCTTCTGGCCAGATTTATTGTCAATTAGTATGAACAATATTTTTATTCTTAAAGTACCTAGTCCCAGAGTAAAGATGATTTTCTATTCTATTCTATTCTGAGCTAGTCATTCTGGCTTCTGCCGTCACTCAGTGAGCGTCTTCTTTGTCTAGTTTACTATTTTAACCTTTTCTTGTACTCTGAAATTTCATTTTGTGAGTAATATATTTTTAATATTATGAAAAACAATTCAGTGGCGTGTTTACAGCACCTATATATAATACTATATCGTATAGTGCACTGTCGTAGTTAAACAAGAGGCAAGGCATTAGTTTGAGGGGAATAACGTGTTTCATTCCCTCAGTGTTGCTATCGCTTCCTCCACTCCCCACACTAACACTCCATAGCTTTCTGTTCTACTTTACATCTCGTAATGGCACCGTGTCCATCGTGTAAATCAGCAGTCACTAGAGACGACAAAACCGCCCTTGTAAAAATATCTATCGCAGTAAACCTACTAATATTAGCGATTATACCCAACAACAAACAAATAAAATACAAAACATATTCACCCTCTCCACCACATTACAAAATCATTTTTCACTTATAATTATTCAGCGGTACTCCAATACCCCACCCAATAAAGCACAATTTTTTCATAATTCCTTATCACAGAATCAAAAACCTGCCCCACCTACTCTGTTTGTTCAGACCAACTGAATTACCATTTTCAATTCTGATTCATTACCACTTTCCTCCTCATACTGTATTCCTAGAGCTTGCTTTGACCCTGAAAATTTCTATTTTACAAATATTATGCCAGAAGACCTACTTTCCTCTGTCCTAAAATCCAGAACAAACGACTATGGTCAGGACCTAATTCCTGTGAAGTTAATCAAATTATGTCTTTCTGTCATATTTCCAGTCCTATTGCGTATTTACAATTTTTCCTTACCAAATTCCAGTTTCCCGTCACCTTGGAATATTTGTCCCCCACTGAGCAAAGTTCCGGTTCTCACCAAAGTTTCCGATTTATCCAAAAATCTTTTAATAATCACTGCCACCTTCACCCAAAAAAACCATTCCCCCCTAAACCCTACTAATTAAAGCGAACAATGATTTAAAATTTAATAGTGAGAAGATCAAAGCCATTCTTATTGGACCCAAGTATCTGATTAACCTCATTTCTTATTATCCTCTACTCTACCTCAATGAGATACTCATACGTTTCCACCCTTAATATCAACATCTGGAAAAATCACATTTCCCAATTAACCGAAAGTCCATTGCTACCCTCAAACAGTTCCTGAGATTCCGTGACTTTATGCTCCTTAAAATCCGTCGGTTTCTAATTTCCTCTCTCATTTTTCCTCACTTCGATTATGGCTGCTTTGTATACAGTGGGCTGTCTGGTAGGCGTAGATCAGATTAAAGATGCTAATGAATTGTTTCATTAGATTTATACTTGGAGTCCCCAGCCACTTCCACATCTCCAGTAGCTATGGCAAGTTGAAGTGGCTATATCCATTTTTCCGACGGCAATATTTCCTAAGTGCATTCCTTTTCCGAACCTTTACAACCAAAAAAACCTTCTTACCTTCTTGATTTCTCAACTGTAATTAATAATAAATACAACAAGTAAATATAAACAAGTAATATGACATGTACAACATGAGGAGAAACTACCCATTGGTAGCACTCCAATTATATTTCTATATTAGAAGGTCCCGAGGCCATCTTCTTTTTAGACGCCTCGGAGGGTTATCAGGAATAGAAGAGGAAGCAAGGTTGGAAACGAGAGGGTTCGGATGGTTCAGAAGTTTATTATGAAAGGACAGGTATCTGGATAGAGCTAAATCGGAAACATATGGTACATTAAGGTCATTATGGATGATTTTATTTGTGACAAAGTAGGGAGCATTAAGGATTTTACGAAGGATTTTGGATTGTAGGGATTGGATACGAGAGGAATTTGATGGTTTAGTAGAGCCCCAAAGCTCGATCCCGTAAGTCCAAATAGGCCTTATTATAGTAATATATATGAGTCTTTTGTAAGTAGTTGGCAGTTTAGAGCGTTTGTCTAGTAAGTGCTGGAGTAGTCGGAAACGTCGGGCGGTTTCTAGTCGTTTCAGTCTGGTATGGGGGTTCCAAGTGAGTCGTTTGTCAAGGTGGAGTCGTAGGTATCGGATATTTTAATATTAAGTTAGAAAACTTTGTAAATTAATTTATTTTTAATTGTCATTTAATTATTCACAATCGCCAAACAATTGTCATTTCTTTGTTCATTATAATTATTCTGACGGGACTAAATGTCCCACAATAAAATTGAATTTATTTCTCTCCTCTTTCTTATTTTGACAATTTGAGGGTTTAGATCACGCCAAACGGCTCAATATTTTTAAAGGCCACCCTTTTTCCCGACTTTGGACTCAAATTGTCTTATGATCCAAATGGAAAGCAAATGAATATTTATGAATTGTTAGTACCTAATTAAACAGACAAAGTTTGCCGACCTCCAGATTGAAAACGCCCCAATTCCGACAATTTTAGTAAAAAAAATATTTGTAGGTTACGATGAGATGAAGCTATTTACGAAGTTTCAGGCGGATGTTAATAATTTCATAAAAAGGGGTCTGTACCACGGACTGTATAGTTAATTCATGTTTATGGATAATGATACAATATAGTTGAAAAGTTTACGTTATGATAGGGATTCAGAGTTCTTGAAAGTAATTTAAAATCTTTTATTATTTTTAGGGATGGATATAAATCAAATTTTGTTGATCTATTGCTTTCTGAAATATATTTTATGTTCATAAAATAGGTAATGACTTTATGTTAAAAATTATTGAATAATCAAGATAAATATATATTTGATAAATTTGAACTAGTTATAAAAAATAAAATCTTGCAATTAGATAACTGAGCTCAATTAAATAAATGATAAATCCTGAAAGAATATTCATACTAATCTTAAAAATAATTAAATTCTTTATGACATGAATAAAATGCAAACTAAATCGGACCAGTAAAGTTAATAATATTAATGTAAATATGCAGCGTATTTAACTTTGTTTATGTTTTATTTTATTCACATACTTCATCAGATTCTGTTTCTATCGATCTGTTTCTTTATCTGTATATAGGGTGTCCTAAAAGTAAAAGAAAATTTCAACTTGAAGAAAACTTCAAGAACTACAATTACAAGTACAAGTACATATAAACAACAGGCCAATTTTCAGTAAAAAAGTAGGAAATTTAAGTTTTGTCTTTTTTTTTAGTAAGACAGGTTTCCTTTGAATAGGAAGTGATAACCAAAAAAATGTTTAATTTAACCGATTAACAACTGCTTCACTGTAAACTAGATAAAATTTACTTTAAATGGAAACGGAGTTTTTCATTGTTAAGACCGTTTAAAGAGGACTTTTGAGCAGCTAAACTAAGTTAAGTTCTGTTTTTAAAAAATCATAAATTATTTGCGATTTTTTTATCATTATCCAACTACAGTACAAAAACTTCTGCGTTTAATAACTTTTAAGTTCTAATGAGCTAAGTTGGGGCTCAACCGCTCAAAAGGTCTCTTTGAATGGTTTTAACAATGACAACCTTCATTTCCATTTAAAATAAATTTTATATAGTTTACAGTGAAGCAATTGTTAATTACTTAAATTAAATACTTCTTCAGTTATGGATTCCTATTCAATAATAAACATGACACTTAAAAAAACACAAAATTTGGATTTTCAACTTTTCTGTCGAAAATAGGCCTATTGCTTATAAGAACATTTTCGTAATTCTTCAGGTCTGCTATCACCTCTATAAATATTTTCCTCTACTTACTGGAAAACCTGTGTAAATAAATTATACAAGTTGTTTTATGCTTATATAATGCCAGGAAAAATATATTTAACAATTTGAAAAATAATTCAATTCTCTACAACATAAAATAAAAATCTTAATAAATTTAACACAAGTTATATATGCATTATATTAATTCTTGCCATAAATTTAAGACTTATACCAGGGAAAATTAAACTGTAACGGCGGGTATGAAATATTTACGAGAGAAACCACGGGTTACTAAACAATTTGTCATAAAACCTAAACATAATGTATTTTTAATTATGTACATAATGTAATAATTATGTTAAATAATTAATAATCTATTAATCAATTTTAAAATAATTAAAATTAGTAAATAATATTAACTTTATATTTACCCATTGTGTCAAGCATACTTTGGTGATTAGCAATGATAACTGCTATTTGATTCTTCCTCAAAACTTTTCCATTTCTTAATTCCCATTTTATGCCTATAACTTTAGAAAAATGCTTCAATGCAGTTCCAATTATCCTAAACGACATAAAAATGTTTAAATCTTTCAATATTACATGTCTATTTATTATTATTTAATTTCTTCTAGTTAAGTTTCTTCTTAATTTGTAAAATCGTTGATTTGACTTCATTGTAAATAAAACAGTCTTGGGATTTTAAAAAAACACGACTACAGAAGTTGAGAAATTCTATTCACCCTAAAGAAATATAGTTCCTATCTATCTATACATATTCATCTACTTAAACATGTTGGGAATTGCAAACTACTTATATTTAAACGTGATCTGATAGCTTTGAGTTTTGTTCGGGCTAATAGACACCCGACTTATTTGACCGAATTTCTTCGGTGTTTTCTTGTATTTTTTTTTTTAATTTAACATTTTTAGAATTTAAAACATTAAAAATTTATTTTCGTAATATAATATTTGTCTCCGTATTTTTATCTCAAATTCATTCAAAACATTCACAGGATCTCATTGGGTAATTACTGCCGTCATAATTAAAAATCGGTCAAGACATTCACTCAAAAAATCGTTACGTGCTTTTTAGCGAATTAATCAAACACACTTTACACACTAATTTGCCAGAATTTTCAGCTTATATTCTTTCAAAACACTCACGGCATATCACCGAATAATTTGAGCCATCGGACATAAAAATTTCTCCAGCTGCTCGCTCAAAAAATCGTGTTATACCTTTTAGACAATTTATTAAATACATTCTATTCTATGATAGGTCAGTGTTTTAAGCTGAAATTGTTTCAAAACCCTACCGGAATGTCAATGAGTAATTTAATATATCCAACTTAAAAATCGTTACATAGTTTTTAGCTTATTGATTAAACGCATTTTAGCCAATCATTGGTCATTGTTCTTAGCCCAAACTGTTTCAAAACACTCAAGGTATCCTACTGAATATTTTGGGCATCAAACTTGAAAATTAATTCATCCTTTTGCACGAAAAATCGTCACATAGTTTTTTGCAAATTTATTAAACACAATTTATTTAACCAGGGTTCAGTGTTTTTAGCTCGAATTCTTTCAAAACACTCATGGGATCTCACTGAATAACTCGAGCCATCAAACTTAAGAATTGATACTGCTGTTCCGTTAAAAAACCGTTATAAAGCTTTTTGCAAATTGGTTAAAGGCATTTTATTAAATCACGGGTTAGTATTTTTAGATCAAATAGTTTTAAAACACTCCGGAGATCTCACTAAATAATTTGACTATCATCGGGATCTCAGCAGACCTGTCAATTTTCCGTTTGACAGTTGCAGGTGCTGTTATCGGAAGTTGACCCTAATAACCTAAGTATGCCCGCAAGTACGTATTCTATTCTAAAGACAGTATATCTTAGGTCGCTCCACATTTTGTTACCGTCATAATTATTAGACCTATTCTTTGTTTCCTTTTCTGAGCCAGCCAATTTCTCGGTATTTAGACTGCAGCCTAATCTGTTTTTCAAATTTTACTCCTAGAATGAGGAAAGTAATTGCTTTAATCGTTGGCAGTAACTCTAATCCATATTACTCCAATTAAGGTTCTCTGGTGAAGCTTTTTTGTTAGGGAAAACAGCTGAAATTCTGTTTTCGATGTATTTAGTATTATTTCATTAGCTCCACACCATATTCTTAAATGCTCCAAAAACTTACTCCTCCAGAGAAGTTATGCCAGTACGAGTTGACTATGAAACTAAGTTAATTGCAAACAACATTTTTGATTCAGGGAATTTACTTTCTAAACACTCAATAAAATCAACAATCATCAAACAGAAAAGAGGAGGATGTGGCACTGACTTCAAATTTCGAACATCCATTTTCATAATTTATCTTAATGAACCCCCATACCAAACTGAAACGACTAGAAACCGCCCGACTTTTCGACTACTGCAGCACATACTAGACAGACGCTCTAAGCTCACAATCAATTACAAACGACTCATATTAATAAGACCTATTTGGACTTACGGAATTGAGCTTTGGGGCTCCACTAAACCATCGAATTCCTCTCGTATCCAATCCTTGCAATCCAAAATCCTTCGTAAAATCCTCAACGCTCCTTACTTTGTCACAAATAAAATCATCCATAAAGATCTTAATGTTCCATATGTTTCAGATTTGGCCCAATCCAGATACCTATCCTTCCATAACAAACTGCAGAACCATCCGAATCCTCTCGTTTCAAACTTTACTTTCTCCTCGATCCCTGATAATCCTCCGAGGCGTCTGAAAAGAAGATGGACCTTCTAATATAGAACTTTAATTTGAGTTCTACCAATGTGTAGTTTCTCCTCATGTTGTACATGTCATGTTACCAATGCCACATTTGCTTATTGTATTTTCCATGTAATACAGTTGTAAATCTCAATAAAATAAAAAAAAATAAAAAATCTTAATGAATCGTTGATACATGTCAGGAAGCTTTGTATGATGTATCAAGGATCAAACACCCATGTATTCCAATTCAAATTAGTTTTTACATTTTAAATGAAGTTTTGAAATCAACAAACCTATAGCTGTGTCTTCTATAGTAGTAATTTTTCACTTCTTGTGAAAAATGAACTATCTTTTCTACTGTGCTTCTGTTTCTTCTAAATTTTGCTCGTAATGTTGATAGTATTTCATTTTTTCAACGTAAGTCTGTAGTCTACCATCATTTCTAATAACCTTCAAAAACTGCTCATCAGTGCTATTGCACCGAAATTTTCTTGTTTGTTAAGTTCCTTGTCATTATTTAATATGAATATATTCTCTGGCTTTTTCCATTCATGGGTATATGGTGATTCCAGACTTTGTTTAGGAAACAGAAGATGCCAACGTTCGCTTTTGTCCCTAACGTTTTTAGGAATTCGGGAAATATTTCTTCCTTCTGAGACCTTCTGGAAAGACTCTTCCATTTCTACCTATGTAAAAGACTCTGTTCCATGGATCTTTTATTTAAGATTTTAAATTGCTTATAGCACAATAATGCTTACAGAAATTCCATGTTATATATTCATTCATAAGCAACTTTGAATATGTCTGAATTACTGGTTTATTGAATCTGTTGATTTGATTATACTATTATTAAATTTTGACCTTAAATTATTATTAAATTTAACTATTATTAAATTTTGAAACCTGTGTGTTTTAATGACAGGATTTTTGAGATCAAGATTCTCGAAAAAAGGTCTATACGCCCATCTTTTTAACTTTTTCGTAGCTCGCCTTAGCTCAGCTGATTTACGCTTTAGCTCTGTTCTGTCTTTCGGTCGTCCAGTCATTATTGCAGTCTCTAGAGCTTTATCACGTTCCCCGAATGGTCTGAACTGTATTTATGTTACCTTTTGTCCTTAACACTAGGTTGATTTGATAATAGCATTATTTATGATCTTTTTACGCCACTCCTCCTTACCGTTGAGTAAAAGTTTATTACTTTTCTATATGCATGCTTATAGGACAAAAAACTTGTTTTTTTTATACTTATTATAGGGTATTCAAGCTCAATAAAGCGGATAGTATGTCCAAATCTTCTAGGACAGTTAAACAAGTTATGGTTAATCTTATGGTTAAGTTATGGTTAGTGTATGGTGTGCCATTACTACATCAGGATGTGGTAAATAACAACCACAAGGAGGTAGTTCGGCATTGTTGTTCCAGCCATCCCAGCTTTGGATTGATTCTTCCTATCGGAGCCTTGGGCGTCCAACGTTCCTTGCTCCAAATAGCTTCTCCGATAGGACTTAAGGCGGATTTTCCTCTGGGTTCATCCTAGCGCTGTGGCCTGCCCATCGCAATAGCGAGAATTTAATAATTCGTGAGGAATTTGAGATAACAAAGAGGCGCTTGTGCATACTCTCTACCTACACTTCCAACTCGACGGCTTCAAGAGTATCCGACTGAATCATCTCCTTCTTGACTGTAAACCTTGAATTCTTCTTTTTTTTTCTAAAATTATAATGCCAGATAATATAAATCTTGCATGGGACATACGGCACGTGATCGTTTGGCTATCTGTGAATTTCATAAGAGTCCAAGTCTCAGAAAGTACATAGTATTAATTAAATCGGGCACAATCACTTCACATTATAAAGAAACGTTAACATTAATCCATTGTTTTATATCCTAATAATTACACAGATACAGATAGTCATGTACTACTATTTTTAAATAAAATATTTGTTTTTTGTTCAAGTTCGCAAATTTGTAAACTATAGGTACCTACTAAAAATTACAAGCAACTATTTATTTAGGTTGTAATTATATTTACCTTATATTATCAACATTCCTAGGCCTCATGAGAATGATTGGTGACGATAATATAGATGCCAGTGAAAACATTAATATGTAACAGAGGTAACATGTGTAGTACCGTAGTTTCACATTTGGCACAAGGGGTGATAAAATTACAATTATTATAGTAATTGGCAGAATTACTTCAAAGCGCATAACATCATTGACACCTATCATACCTGAAAAATAATAATTAATGGTAATATGTACAAAATTATTAACGATGATAGTATTAAATTAAAAATATATATATGAAATAAAAAAACGCTGGAAATTATTTCACAATGGTTTATTATTTCCAAACAATTATACATCCAAGATATAATTACCTTCCTAGTCACAAAGAAAAATAAATAAAAGGTGATTCCAATTATTAGACTAAACTTTTTTTTTTAATCATTAGTAATATGCTAAAAAAAGTAGCATTACTTCAGTAACACATTCAAAACTTAAAAACCAAAACAAAGGATATAACATTTGCAGTAGAACATATAAAAAAAAAACTAGAGACCATATCTTTGCTCCTAATTGTCCGATTATAACGATCTTTTTTTTTAAGGAAATTTCGTATATTTTTAAAAAACTTTTTGAATTATTCTCAATTTAATTTAACCATCCCTCGTAACTTTTTTTCCAGCTTCTTTTCGTTGAAGTATGTTATATAGATAAATTTAAAGGGCGTTGAGAAACTGACTTTAGGGAAGTTTCATTGAAATCGGTACATTCGTTTAGGCGCTACAGTCTATATCAACGCAGGTTTCTCGACCGCCATTTTGAAAGTAATGTCGATGAAGGAGGATCATCCTCGGGTGACCTCTGATTTTATATCCAAATTTGAATAAAATCGGTCTAGTAGTTTCGGAGAAAATGCTCGGACGGCGGACGACGTACGGCGTACGGCGGACATCGGACGGACAAACAATTTTTTATTCGTTTTTCGAATTCTACATATCCTGAAACGTGAAACCTCAAATTTTTAGAGAGGGTAAAGTTTTTGAATTTTTTGGTCGATCACAATGGTTCATTATTCAAAATAATAAACCAAAAATCTCGACTAATGAAATTGGGAAATTCTATCCACCTTAAGAGGAAATACTTCCATATCTACTTTTTTTAAAAAACATATTTATTGAAATTTACTACTGTATTACATGAAAAATACAACAAGTAAATTTAAAATTGGTAACATAGTATGTAAAACATGAAGAGAAACTATCCATTGGTACAACTCCAATTATAGTTCTATATTAGATGGTTCCGAGGCCATCTCCTTTTTAGACGCCTCGGAGGGAATCCAGGGATAGAAAAAGAAGCAAAGCTAGAAACAAGAGGTTTCGGATGGTTCAGAAGTTTATAATGGAAGGATGGGTAACTGGATTGAGCTAAATCGGAAACATATGGTACACTAAGGTCATTATGGATGATTTTATGTGTGAAAAAATAAGTTTTATTTTGAATTGTAAGGATTGCATACGACAGGGTTTTGATAGTTTAGTAGAGCCACAAAGCTCGATACCGTAAGTCAAATACGCCTTATTATAGTCATATTTATGAGTCTTTTGTAAATAATTAGAAATTTACAGTTTTTGTCTGGTTTGTCTAAGTGCTGGTAAGAACTTTGACCGGTTTCTTGTCGTTTCAGTCTTATATGGGGACTCCAAGTGAGTCGTTAGGACAGGTGGAGCCCTAGGTATCGGATTTGTTCAACAGGGACAAGCGAAGTGTTATTAATGGATACTGTACAACAAGAAATCATAGGTTTACGACGAAGGGTAAAGGTAATTTGGTGGGATTTATTTTAAATCGCCAGTTTTGATACGATTCTTCATGATCTGTGATATGTGATTGAAGAGTTTGGGATGCAATTGATGGGTTGTAATTAACTAATAGGACACATGTATCATCGGCATAGGTGGTGATGATAGTATTGGAATGGGTTGGGATGTCAGCAACATAAACTTTGTAAAGGATAGGACCTAGGATACTACCTTGAGGAACACCAGCAGACTGTCATATCTTGGTGGATTGACATATAAGTATCTTTAATCTTGCTTTAATTTCGGGTGACCTTTACTACACATCACGCCTCCAGGTAAATAGATTTCGTTGCGGTATCGGTCCATTTAAACATCCGATTATGGAGTTTTGATCGGGAATGGTCGGCACCCGACAACTACATCATGTTTAAATATTCGTAGATATCAATTTACCAAGATGTTGAAGTAAATATGGAAGTACATTCTCTTAGGGTGAATAGAATTTCTCAATTTCTGCAATCGAATTTTTACTATAACATGTAATATATGGCCCCATAAAAACCTCAAACTTTCGTTGCCTGCCTGCACCTTGGATGTGCCAAGAAATTAAGAATCTGAAGAAGAAGGCGTGATGCTGCCCGTAGACGCTTTAGACGTACCAGGCTTACAAATGACTATCAGCGTTTAGGGTGCTCCGCAACTTGACACAAACAACGATTCGGCGAACTAAAGCTACCTACTTCCATGAAGCCCTTTCATCTGCTCCAGATCCTAAATCTAAATTCTAATCCTTCGCAAACTTTCCCTCTGTGAACCTTCCAGATCCCCTTCCTCACTAGTCTTTCCCGTTTCCCCTGACGATTTAAATTCACATTTTATTTCTGCCTCCTCTACCTCTTCTCTACCCTCCTCTTCCAACTTTGCTCCTGAGTCATCATTCAATGATGATGACTTTTATTTCTCCGACATTTCCCTGACTGACTTACTAACAGCTGTAATGAAATCCCACACCAATTCCATAGGACCAGATGGCATTCATGTCAAATTGTTAAAATTATGTCTCCCCGAAATCCTCCCAGTTCTCCTGGGAGGATGAATTTTGATCATCTGCAATTTCTCCCTACAGAACTCAATATTCCCTACCTCTTGAAAAAAAAAAAAACCATTGTCCTTCCTTTAAATAAGAAGCTTAATTCATCCTCTTTCGAAGACTTTCACCCAATGTCAATTCTTTCCAATCTCTCAAAACTCTTAGAAAGATTAGTGCAATCCCAAGCTTTCAATTTCCTTGAAAAGTCCAACCAGCTTGACCCTCTCCAATCTGGTTTCCGTCCCGACTACTCCACGCTACCCTCCTTAATTAAAATTATCAATGATGTTCTGACTGTAATAGATAATAAACAATTAACTGTCCTTATATATCTTGACTTCTCCAAAGCCTTCGATTCCATTAACCATCCCATCCTTTTCAACAAACTAAAATCACTTTCCTTAACTTCCTTTCTTTATCCTCTGTAGTTGCCCAAGGATCTAGCGTATCTCCTCTCCTTTTTATATTAACGAACTACATTACTCAATTCTCCATTTTTCCCACCACCTTTATGCAGACGAATCTCAAATATATCTATCCTCCCCCCTCCCCTGAGCTATTGGTAGCATTTACTAAGATACAAGCAGACCTAGATCGAATCTGTGCCTGGGCAAACTTAAACGGATTAAGGTTAAACGTTGCTAAAACTCAGGCCATTGACATTGGTTCCAAGTCCCTCCTTAGATTCTATACCGATTTTACCATACTAAAACCCATAATATTCCCCCACTTTGACTATAGCTGTGTGGTGTATGATGGAGCTCCGTGATAGATTGAAAAGACTTATGAAAAGCTGCGTAAGATTTGTAATTGGTGCCCCGCGATAATCCCATGTCTCACAACACTACACTGAGTTAAAGTGGCTCTTTCCATCCATTCGAAGACTATTTTTCCTAGGTACGTTCCTCTATCGAATCATCAACAATTATCGTTCTTCTTACGCCTACAACCTTCTCCTATTGAAGTCCTCACTCCCTTTCCACGAGTGATAGTGAAAGTTTTTGAATCCGAGTTTTCAAATAAAATACACAATTTGAAGTCCCCTGAGTGTAAATAACCATGTCCCGAAAAATGATCAGTATGTTTGTGAGAGCGTGCTTGTGCGTACGAGCTTGCGTGCATGCGTGCGCGTGTGCGAGAACGTGTACGCGTGTGCGTGTGTGCATGTTACAATTTTCTCACAAACGTCTCTAACTATTTTTATTAACTTTAATTTGGTTTATTGTAAATAATTAACTACCTCTCGTTATTAAGAGTTAAAAAAAATACTTTTCTTTTTTTTTAATCTGTTTATTGAATAATAATACAATCAGCCACTGCTAGAGGGCTATAAGCATTAGGGCTAAAAGTTCTCATTCAGACAATATATACAAATAATAAAGAAAGAAATATAAATATAGGAAGTAAATAAATAATACTGGTGTAGGGTCTTGTTCGTGACATAATATGGAGCATTGACTATTGTTCGAAGGACTTTGGACTGGAAGGATTGGATGCGTGAGAAAAAATACTAAATATAACTTTTGGAAGAATTTGATAATTAAAAAAATAAATAAATAAATAAAAATAAAAAAATTGGAGATAAACGGGAAAATGTTTATATAGGTCGAAAATGAATTTCCGGAAATACAAGTCATAAGGTATGAATATATTATATCGTTGAAAGCGGAGAATTTTAGAAAAAAAAAATTGAGTGTGACGAAAAATTATAAATAATAATTTGTCAAAACTAATATTATTTAACGGAAATTACACGTTTCCAATCAAATTAAATGGAATTTACTAACTAAATGTAAACACTTGAAACTTTTTTTAAGTTCGAACAAAAGTATTTAAAATCAACTTAATCAAGGCAATGTTTAAAAAACTATTTCATAGTAATTGTTTCAAAATATCCCCGGGGTCTCACCAAATAATTTAAGATATTGAACTTAAAAATCGATACAATCATTCACTAAAAAAATTGTTACATGTTTTTTTTTGGAAATTTATTAAACACATGTTATTTAATCACGGGTTCAGTATTTTAAGCTCAAATCGTTCAAAACATTCAGGGAATCTCATCGAATAATTGGGACCATCAAACTTATAATTTATATGTATATATGTATGATATAATTATCGAAAAAAATTCATAACTAAGTAAATGTAAGCCCTTTTGTGAAGGCATCTTTTGAGCCCGCAACTGGCGTAACTGGTTATGCATAATATAAGTAATTATTTTAATACACTATTGTAAGATTAATGTAAGTCTAATATTACATAGCTATCCAAAAAATATTTCGCTAATCTAAGCACTACCGAGATAGAAAAATATGAGACCATATCTTACCTCAATTGTTTCAAATACACAAATAAAATAGTGATAGTAAGTTAGAGCCTCTATTTATAATCCGAACTTTCTCTATTCCGCAAAGTTTTGTGATTAGGTGCTTTGAGATTTATATGTGAACAAATCAATTGGAGGCGAAACAGTAGATTTGCGTCAAAAATTCTTAAAAACTGTAGGCGTTATGTAACAATGGCCTTTGTCGACAATTCCCATGCGACTTTATCATTGAATCTGAATGAACTGAGTCTAATCCCAAGACCGTGTGACAATTGCTAATTGTAATTCTAATAGACAAAATTATTTTTTTAACCCTACTACTCCAATGGTCTGTCATCTTCAAATATGCTTCTATGTTAAATCGAATCAGACTAAGTTCATAACGGTTTACTGCTTCTTAAGCTCAAAACATATTAAAAAGATTCGAAGCTCTTAAGTTCAAAATTACTGTTTTGGCACTATATTGCCATGGGGTGAAAGGCAGTTAGATCAGATGTTATAAAACTGCTATTGGATAATTTCATTCATAAATGTTAATGTAAAATATTTGTGTCGCCCTCACACAACTTTCAGTCACCATTCTTTATAAATTATTTTCTGCCAAAATGGGAAAAATTCTTTGAAGTGCATTTTTAATAAACCTTTTTTTCGGTCATCGTTATCAATACAAAAACTCACTGACCGTAAAAATAACACAAATCCTGTCATATTGAGGGTAGGAAATGAAAACCTAGAAACCATATCTGTCTATTCAAAGCACATAACTCTAATCTTGAAGCTATAAACATAAATAGTGGTTTGAAAATACACAACTGTATCTGATGTGTAATTAAGTAACGATTCTACTATACAACAACAATTGTAGAAACTAAATTTCCATCACTAGGTACATATTTTAAAACTCTTATTTTGTGCAAGTAAAATAGAGTATTCAGGATTTCGTTACTTGCTGTTGATATGCCATAATTAGTCACAGTAAGTGCAAGATGTGATTTCACCGGAGAAAAATTATTTACTGATAGCAGACGGATACATTGCATTGATTGAACTAACCTTTAACCAAAGAATGATTTAGGGTCTAAATGTCAATTTGAAACGAACTACTTTGAGACCAAACCACTTCAATTTCTTTTCAAAATCTTCGAAAGTGAAAATTGAACAAAAACAAAATACTTACATATATCTAATTAAACCCATATGTATGTGTACATTTGTAGTCCTTCGAGATAATAATTTTAATCTGAAATATTAAGAACAATAACAGAAGCTTATCGATAGGCAAATAACAATAATCTACTGACTTACACCAACTAATAACAGAATTCGCCATCTCCGCGACCACACCAAACTTCAAGACAAAACCAACAGATTAATGAAATATACTATAGCTGTTTTAAGTTCGTAAAGAGGTACTGCTGAGAAGTATTAAAAAAGAATAGCTCACTTGAGTAGCAGCCTCGGAGTGGAAAATTCTCAGAACTGTTTGTTACTTCCTCGGCCACAAGTAAATGGGAAAGGGTTTCGTGATGTGTGATCCCAACTTCTAATAACATACATCTGCGATAAAAATCTTGTTTTCATTAAAAACAATTTTAAAAAATCCTTACCCACCAATGTTGGAAAAAACAATTAAACAATCAGATAATTTATTTTCATTTCCCACATTAGCACCGTTTAACATTACAACATTTTCTATGTAATAATATAAAGTAAATATATTCTTCCTTGAGGATACCATAGAAAAAAAATTCTGTTTACTTATTTACAATTAAGAAATCAATCCTCTCAAAGCAGTTTAAACGATATTTGAAAACCTTTTATCCAATATAATAACTGCTTTCTTCGGCATGTTAATCATACAATTTTAATTAGGTATATCCTTATTGCAAATAGGATGTGAATGTGCTCTCTGAACACTATTATAAATGTCCTTAATTGTGACAGATTGTAATATTTCCGAATAATAAAAAAAAAATAGTAAAAAAAGAAAATGAAATAAAAAAAAAATAGGCATGTCATTTTCAAATCATTATTATATTAAAAAAAAAATTGTTCGGTGGCAAGTTTGAAATAATCTTAATGTCGGTACCGAGAATCATCCTGCGGCCACTTGTGACATTGATGGAGCCTAAGGCTCTTCTTCATGAAACGCTGATTCAGTAGCCATGTTAAATATTTAGTCTCCATTGAAGAGGCTTTATATTCTATTAAGAATGTATAATAAAACTTATATTATTGTTAACTTAGAGTAATGTTATTATTAACAATGTTAGAGTAATATTATTATTAATTTTGATTAATTATTAATGCTCAATTTCGAGAATCATCCTCGATGACTCTCGATTTAGGCGCCAATTCTGAAAATTATTGATCCCATATTTTTAGAGCAAAATAATGGACGTTAGAAGGACGGAAAAGAAGGGAATAAAACCCGTTGCCAATCAGGAAACATAAAAAAGTACCCACCTCTAAAACGAAAAAACATATAAAAATTGAAGTGAGAAATGAAGATATTTTGCTATGGCTAAAAGAATAATTTGGTGCGCGCAACACACCAATTTCACTTCCTCGTCTGATTCAAAAAAATAATTCTTGTATGGCAAAATTGGGCTATTACAAGAAGTTTTTGGAGATCATTTTCAAGAGCTAAACCTTGAACAACATATTTTGGTCCATATTCATCAATACGAAAACTCATTGAGACCATCAAAATAAACACCTTTTAACTACTTCAGTCTATTTGAATCACATAATTACATAGTCTCTGCGCTCTATAGACAAAAAGAGATTTAAAAGTACATGTATTTAATTATGAATAAGTAAGGTAATACTGCACAATAAAAATTATAAGAATTCAGTCTCTAACACTTTTTAAATGTATTTAAATTCTTATGTTTTACCCTTGGAAAATTTACCAAAAAAAAAGTTACTTAAAAAAGAAAAAAAAAGATAAATCGAAAGTCGTATCACAAATTGTAAGTGTATATTATAATTTCACAGACAATTTTTTTTTTTATAAATCGACGATGTAAAACTAATTGTTTAAATATAATATTGGATCTAGAGTTGTTAAAATACAGTAAAGGTATGTTTAAGGTTATAAACATATGTTTTACTCATCCATGAAATATCTTTACATTTCACTTCTTCTTTCATACAAGTACAATGAAATAATCTTTTTAACAATGTCATTCCCTTGATTCGGTGAATTTTATAGCATTTTTTCAAACTTAAAAATACATTTAGTTAAGAAATGTCATTTCATTTCCTTAGAAAGATGTGGTTTCCTTTAAATAAACCAGTCCGTATATGTATATGTATTTATAATATATATAAGTATATATATTTTTCTCATAAAATCAATAAAACATAAGATTATTACTTCCGAAAATACCATTAAAAATAATTTCTCAAATGGACATATGTTACTCCTCAAAAATTTAATTAATAAGAAGTCAATAGGCTTGTGAGGTCAGTGGCATTGGGAGGAGGAGAAATGAATGCCTGGTTATTAGGCCTAGGTTCAGAGATGGGATAAGGGTCTTGAGGTTGAGATGTGAATACTCGAGGTTGAGGTTCTTGTGGCAGGGCCTGATATTGCTAATAGAAAAATTTTGTTGAAAAATAATGATCAGGATATGATTTTTATCACTCCTGATCAAAAATAAAAATCGCTAAAAATGAAATGATTTTTAAAATTCCAGATAAAATTTTGATCAGATTTCATTTTCTTAATTATCGATTTCAAACCCTATTTATTATTATTACTTCCTTTTTTTTTTTTTTTAGTTAAGTGATGGTTCGCATATATAGCATTTCCAAGTCAATTTCAACCTTTTCCAAATCAAATTCAACCTTTTCCAAGTCAAATTCAACCTTTTCCATTTCAAATTCAACTTTCGAATTTTTGTCAATTTTCGATTTTTTTCGAAATGAAGGCCACTTATTATATTATCGAAGGCATAGCTTTTGGAAAATACAAAAAAAAAATTGATTACGCGGTTGCATATCCATTTATTTTAACATTTTAGATTTTTTTCAGTGTGATATTTCTATGTGATATTCAATTATTTCCAAGTCAAATTCAACCTTTTCCAAGTCAAATTCAACCTTTTCCAGATCAAATCAAACTTTTTCCAAGTCAAATTCAACCATTTCCATTTCAAATTAAACCTTTTCCAATTCAAATTCAACCGTTTTAATTTCAAATTAATGTTTTAAGTTTTTGTAAATTTTACATTTTTTTTTAAATAATGGCCATCTCCTCCCCCCCTCCAATATGAAAGTCTATTATTATGCTCTCCTAAGTAGAATTTTAACTTACGGATATCAATTTATTGTACCTATTCGGATTTATTAGGAACTAGTATTATGCTGTCATGTACCTAGTTTTGAAAATAACCTCCATTTTAAGATTACGTGACTGCGTTTCGAATCATTTAAGTTTTTTGACTTATTCGATATATGGGTGTATTTTTATGTTTCCCGATCAGTAAATTTTGAAAATGACATCCATTTTATGTTTACGCCACTGTGTTTTGATTTATTTAAGATTTTATAATTTATCCAATATAAAGGTCTACTTTTTTGTTTCCGGAGCCGTAGATTTTGAAAACGACCTCCATTTTAAGATTAGGCCACCGCATTTCGATTTCTTTGAGTTTTTCGGATTTTTTTCATATGAGGATGTATTCTTATGTTTCCGGAGCAGTAGATTTTGAAAACGACCTCCATTTTAAGATTAGGCCACCGCATTTCGATTTCTTTAAGTGTTTCGAATTTTTATCATAAAAGAGTGTATTCTTATGTTCCCGGAGTCGTAGATTTTGAAAATGACCTCCATTTTAAGATTACGCCACTGCGTTTCGATTTATTCACGTTTTTCGAATTTATGCAATTTAAAGGTCTACTTTTATGATGCTGGAGCCTTAGTTTTTAAAACGACTTACATTTTAAGATTAGGCCACTGTATTTCGGTTTTGTTAAGTGTTTTTGATTTTTCCTTCGAATAAAAAACAAAATACGAAGGATTAATTTATTTTTCAATAAATAAATAAAAATATCTAATCAAAATAAATAAAATATGTAGTCTCATTTTTAATTTAATTTTAGTTATCTTTTTTAATGTTGTGGTCTCCTACCACAAAATTATAAGATTTCGAACAATTAGCTGAAAAATCTGAATACGGAAGGTTAAATTTATTACTAGTTGCTTTTCGGCTTTTAGGTTGTATTCTGTGGTTAATTTAACTTTAGCTTCATAATATTTATTTATTTATTCATACTCGAAAACATATTGATGAAACTTTGTATTGAAAAAATCCAAAATGAAGCCTAATTAATCAAGATGCAGCGGCTTAATCATAAAATGGAGCTTAAATATTAGATAAATTTAAATATTAGAAAAATTTCAATACGTCTCGGATAACATATAAGTAGATCCTTATACCGAAAAAGTAAAAAAAAAAAATTTTATAATCCAAAACAGTGGCATAAACTTGAAATTGGGTCATTTACAAAATGGGGGAAATCTACTGGTCCAGAAACATAAAATTAGACCTTTATACTTGTTAAATTCTAAAAATTTAAATAAGTTGAAACGCAGTTGCGTAATCATAAAATAGAGGTCATTTTCAGAATCTACGGTTCCGAAAACATAAAAGTAGACCTTTAAATTGGATAAATTCGAAAAACTTAAATAAGTCAAAATGTAATGGCGTCATCATTAAATGGAGGTCATTTTCAAAATCTACGGCTCAAGAAACATAAAAGTAGACATTAATATTGGATAAATTCGAAAAACTTAAATAAGTCAAAACGCAGTTGCGTAATCATAAAATAGAGGTCATTTTCAGAATCTACGGTTCCGAAAACATAAAAGTAGACCTTTAAATTGGATAAATTCGAAAAACTTAAATAAGTCAAAATGTAATGGTGTCATCATTAAATGGAGGTCATTTTCAAAATCTACGGCTCAAGAAACATAAAAGTAGACCTTAATATTGGATAAATTCGAAAAACTTAAATAAGTCAAAACGCAGTGGCGTAATCAGAAAATGGAGGTCATTTTCAAAATCTACAGCTCCGGATACATAAAAACACACCCACATATGAAATATATCCGAAAAACTCAAATAAGTCGAAACTGGTGGCCTAATCTTAAAATGGAGGTCGTTTTCAAAATCTACGGCTTTTATTATTAATTTCGTTTACATCTTCAATAATTGTAATAAATCTATATTTAAATATTTAATTTATAATTCTTGAACTTTAAAAATTTTATGATATAATAGTGTTTCCACTTTGGTGAAAAGGTTTCCTTCCCAGGGAAATTTCTAAGTATGAGCACAGTTTAATCTATTTTTTAATGATATAATTTATTTTTTTTTTATTGAGTATTAATACAGCCTGCCACAATATGTACATAAGAAAGGAAAATAAATATAAATAACCAAAGTAAGAAATATATATATATATATATATATATATATATATATATAAAGATAAAGTAATATACAAGATAAGCAAAATAACAGATTAAAGCCGAATGATAATAAAATAAATAAAACA